TTCTGATCATTTTTTTACCCTCACTTTTACATCGCTCTCTGTCTCCACACAGACCCCCTGGAATAAAGGGTTAGCGAGCCACTAACGATGACAAACTGGAAAAATAATAGGCAGATGGAGCAAGCACAGGAAAAAGATGATGGAAATGTGAAGGAAACAAACAAAAAAGGAACAACGGAGCCCGATGGAGGAGTGAAGTACAAACAGTTTTATGTTCCACATTTGCTTAAGAACCAAATATATTGTTGGAATCTCACATTCATGTATAATTTCATGATGAAGCCAGCCAGCATGCTGGATGGTGGCGCTGCTATCTACACAGAGACTCACTACTGGTATATATATTCTCTATTTACCTACTACAAGATGTGAATATGGATCCATATGCAGATGACTAGTTTGTACTGCTTTGCTCCTGTAAACGGCCTTTAGTAAAAGGATGAAGTTAATCTATGGGTGTGTGTGTGTGTGTGTGTGTGTGTGTGTAAGAGAGGGAGGGAAATCAGACCTGGATTGTGGTCTCTGCAAAAAACAGACTGAGAGATAAAGCTAAATTAACCCTACACAAAACGAACCTATATCCTTACAGCAGCATTTCATTAATTTATGACTTATATGTATGTCCATATCTTAAATTGGGTGTGATGCAGACCTATTATATTCAGCTGGTTCATCTGCTTTTCCCCCTCTTACTTGATTCCTGTGTTGATTGGACCACTTTTGTGCCCTGCTGTCTTTCCAGGAAGAGAAACTGTAGCCAAAGTGTTTGATGCTCGCCTTAGAATTGAATAGTCTCTATTTTGTCACGTACATTGTCCCAGAAATTTAAACTTGTCGGATTTAGTCAGCTCTAAAGTGACCAACAAGTTCAGATGTTATGAATTACAGGGTACAGCCAAAGAAAAGGAAATACCAGAGTGGATTTTTAAGTTTTCTTTAAAGATTTAAAAAAACAAAATGTGTGCGTGCTTCTTCTAATATCACTTCAATCAGTTTCATGTGGTAATCACTGTTTTTTCTGCCTTATCTACTTGGTGTGATTGCATGTTTGTAAAGGGTGTTTCCTTTACCATGACAGTACCCTGTACCACCAGGTTATCCTTCCAGAGAACGTTTTTGTACTCCGGAAGGAATCTTTCACTTTATAGAAATGAATCAAATTCCCACTTATAAAAGTCTGAAACAACACGTGGTACAGCAGGGGAAACATTTGGACTATCAAACTGACAACCTGCATGCTAAATCACAGCGAGAAGGAACTGAACAGCACATTATGTGGAGTAATGTGTGCTTGAATGTTTGCAGGATGTGACAGGTCACCAACAGCCATACTGCCTTAGATCTTAAACTGTTAACTGGAAGACATTATTTTCTTACCACTGTCATCTTGCTGATTCTTCCTTTAGTTACTGTACTTTCCATCACAGGTCCTGGTAGATGTGTCTCAACCTCAGTGCCTAAAGCAGCACGCATGGCAGGTTTGAATAATAAGAAAGCCACAAATCCAGAAAGCAAAACTATTAAATTCCCCTTATTTAACAATTGGCATTAAGTATTTTGTTACATCCACTTAAACATGCAGGGGCATGAACTTTTCTTTCCCTTCTTACCTGTAAGATTGTTTTTTGTTGTTGTTGTTGTTGTTTTTTTTACCAAGTACTGTATGAATTCCATTCAAAATATGATTTCCTGTACCCAAACTTGAGAGGGATGGAAGGGTTGGGGTTTACTTGTTTGCTAACAGCTCCTGATGGTAGTCTTTGAGACACTGGCACATAAGAGTTGGAAAGAAAGGATCAAGGAAGACCAAAAGCAGATATGTCTTACTGTTCAAACAGAAAGCCATGAAATGGAACAAAACCTGAAAAAAAGGAAAGACCAAACTTTATTTTTATAACCCAAAATGCTAGAGCAGCGAGGTCTTGACAGTGTGTATATATCGATCCATCCTGCACGGATGGTATAAATAATAGTTCTAATAGTCAAAATAGTTACTCACTTGTGTTGGTTGGCCATATGCTTTGAACACGTCTGACTAGTTACAACTCTGTAATTGTTTATTGCTGAGGCAAGCTTGCATTGTTCCACCATTAGTTCTTTTCTTTTTCTTTTCTTTTCTTTAAATCGTACACTGTTTGAAGGAGGAGATTTTGTTGTTGAAATGTGTCCAGAAGAGAGCAGGAATGAAACCTCAAGAGACTTTTAGATTATTATTATTATTATTTTTTAATTTTGACATTTCTTTAATCATAAGTTGTAATGTTATTAAGCTCACCTTCTAGAGCATTTGACAAGCGTTAGAAAAGCCTTTCAGTGACAAGAATGTTGAAACCAACCACTTAAATAAAACTATACTGCTTTAAACCTCAGTAGGTTGTTGTGTGGCTTTGTCTTTTTTTTCTTTCTTTGAAGTGTGAGTCACCTACTTCAATCAGTCTTGTTTGTTTACAACATTTGCAGATTTCATTTGGTTTTTCAAGAATTATGTCTTTGGAGACTTGGCTTTTTTTCCAGCTTTCCATTTTCCCCGCCCAACATTGCTGAAATGCATCTTTTTATTTTTTAATGCCACTGAGTTGTGGTGGTGACAGTAAGAGACATTTTATTGAGTGCAGGAAATATTATTCAAAGATATGAACACATCTCTATTCGTAAGTACAGTCAAAGCCCAAAGGTCCATAGACAGTGAGCCACACCATTACACTGGGTAATAATTTCAATCTCTGCAAACAACATTGTCAGATTGCAGGTTACACATGCTCACTGGCCATTTTATTAGGTACACCGTATTAAGCTGCTCATTAACACATACATATAATTAACCAATCACATGGCAGTAGGTCAATGCTGCTGCTACTAGCAGTGTCTGCCTGTCAAGACAACTTGCTGAACATCAAACTGAGCAGCATAATGAGGAAGAAAAGCGATTTGAGAGACTTTGTGTGTGGCTGTTGGTACCAGATGGACTCTTCTTTCTGCTGATCCACGCAACCATCTCTAGGGTCTACAGGTAAGAGGAGGATGGTTCTTGTCGTTGAAGCAAAGGTATGCAGAAGAGCATCTCTGAACACAGATGTCAATGGTTGAAGAGCTGATGAGCTACAGCAGCAGCCACTCCTGTCAGCTAAGAACAGGAAACTGGACAATAGAAGATACTGTCATACCTGGATATCGTTGCTAACCCCTTAAAAGTCCAGCCACCCATCTTCTGGTGGTCCATTCTAGCAGGATAGCCATACCACAAAACTCAAATCATCTCAAACTGGTTTCTTAAACGTGAAACCAATAAGTTCACTGTAGTCAAATTAATGCTACAGTCACCAGAACTCAATCCAATAGAGCAAATTTACAGCAACCGTGTGATGATATCATGTCAATATGGACCAGACTGTCTCCAGCATCTTGTTGAGTCTCAGGCATGCATAATTAAAGCAGTTCTAAAAACACAAGGTCCAACCATGTACTAGCAAAGTCTAATTAAAGAAGTAAGTGCATAAGTCATGTATCTGGTGGAAATACTCGACTACCTTTAAAATTGCCCGATACAAATCTGTCACTTACTCCAATTTCAGTAGACCTATCTAGAAATGAAAGCTCTTTTGTATAAGTACTTATTACAGCTGTTTGTACCATAATAACATTAAAAAAGAACAAATGTAACGTTTTTGAAGAAGATTTCAAAAATAAACTGAAAGGAATTTGGCACGTGAAGAGTTTAGTCATCACTGTCACAGGACCTACTTCAAAGTTGATGTCCTGAGCTAAGGGGACCTGAAAACAAACAAACAAGCCAACTTATGTACAGAGGTATAAAATGAAAGGAGATGGAACAAAATGTACCCATTACTAGTGTAGACATGAAGGTTACACTTTAACTTGAAAGCTCATTTTAGTACACTTCTTATATTGGCCAATTGAGTCCATAGAATTAAAGCTCATGTACATATTTATAAAAAGCAAAACTTCAAAACTGTTTTATTCAACTCCTGCCATGACTTTTTTCTTTTGATCTTTCTTTCTTTCCTTTCTTTTAATTTTCTTTAGGAATTTGATAACGCTCACCTGCCCCTTTCCTGTTGCAATTACAAGACATCCACCGCTAGATGGTGCCATTGCTCCGCGTCTATGCACCTACCTCCGAATCGGAAAAGCCACAAATTGGACGTGTTGCGCACATCTTACACGCTGTCACATGAGGGAACACCCGGGTCTGTTTCAATTGCCTGGTTTCTGACTCCACACAGCTTATCAAATTGTTATTACACAGCAGATGGGATGCGGTTCATTTGTTTAATTCCATTCACCACAAAGAACCATGGCGCTATGATTGTACAAAGAGGAAGAGGAGGGGTGTGTGGAAGGGGGAATCAATGGGCGCAGTAAAAAAAACCAAACAAAAAACGGACTGAAGTTGAAGCAATTAAGAGTGTGGCACAACCGCCTGAGCATATTCTGATGACTTATTAACGTGTTCTAATAACCAACGCCTTCCACTGTGGAAACAATCGATCCGATTGACTGGTAATAAACTTGATTGAATGGGTGGATTCTGCTGGACGACAGTGGCGCAATTAGAGGATGATTTGGTGCAGGCGGCAGATGCAGACCCGACGCCTCCAATACATACATATGTTTCACGTAGAGCTGGGGGACAGGGGGGTTCGCGCTTCGTGTGGCAGCTTCGTGTCGTGCGCTGTCCTTTTCAGCACCGACAACCTGGAGAAGGGGGGGTGTTGGTGGTGTTAGTGTGCGCGCGCGTACGCAGAGCAGCGCGAGCGGACTTCACGGGAAGGGTTTATGCGCAAAGTGCGGAGAGCTTAGAGAAGGAGCGGATAACAATCAGGTGGGTTTTAACAGCGTTATTGAGCGTTACTGACGAGAGTCCGCGCATGATGAATTCCTGCACTCTGTCCCCCCCTTCATCACCCTCTCCTCTCCCTCGCTCTCTTTCTCCCTCTCTCCACACCTCTCTGTCTGAGATTCATTCCTGGGCATCGACTTCATTACAGGCAGCCTCCCTCTATTGTCTCCATTAACAAGTGCGGAGTTAATAGTTGATTTTGAGCCCCTAAATCAGCTCTGTTGGTCACGACAGAACACTTTCTTTTCTTTTTTCTTTTTTTTCTTGTTTTTGTTCTTGTGTGGCAGCTGCACAGATCTGCTCCTTTCTCCAGTCATCGCCATGAGGATTGTCTAAATTGTCTTCAAATTCCTTTTGCTGTTGTGGAACAAAGAGATTTTTACTTCAGGATATACAGATATATATATATTGATTGTGTGTGTGCGTGTGTGAGGGTGGAGGTGAAACTGCTGAGTTTCGCAAGGAAGTTGCTTTAGACGGACAGGGACCCCACGGAGCCTGCGGGGGAGGCTGGAGCCGGAGCATCACCGCTCGCACACTGGCGGATGATTTGATTTTCCTCATTTCCGAGGTATCTAAACACGCAGATTCTTTTCTCCACGTTACCAAATGCGCTGATCTCTTTTGCATTTCTCAGCGAGGGTGTGTGTGTGTGTTTCCCACCTCCCCTCTCTCTCTCTAACACACATTCCTTTGCTGAATGGTTTTGACCAGTCTGTGTTATTCATTGTCTCAGTTTCACTGCTTCTTACTTTTTGCGGGATTTTATTGTTTTATGCATTTTTTCATTCTCTCTCTCTGTCGTGGATTTCCCCACGGTGGTGGCTGGGTGAGTACATGCTCTAACAGCACCCGTTCAAAGGTGTGTTTTACTCAGGATTGCGTGGTTGTGTGTTAGGGGAAAAAATAGAGACATGATATAATGAGCATGAATTTTGCTCCTCCAGATATCATTGCACGGGTGTTTCTCTGCTTTTACTGAGGACGGCAGTGTCTTAATTAGGCTGCAATCAGAATACCACCACTGCTGTACCAAATGAAGCCCAAAGGGCTGCATAATGAACACACACACCCCTAGACTTTGATCTCGCACAGTCTTATTTTTGAACCTGTGAGCTCTGCGTTATCTTCTGACACATGACTTAATCACATCAGAAGCATGTGTGTGTGTGTGTGTGTGTGTGTGTGTGTGTGTGTGTGTGTGTTTTAAAGGGATGCGTAAGCTTTTTTCTGCGTGCCCCACTGATGTGTGCTGAGACTGGAAACAATCAAAAAGGCTTTAAAGGACTAAGAAAAGTATTTTTCCCTCTGGAGGTAGCATTCAGGGGTAACGTGAACTATGTTTGGAGTGTTTGGAGAAGAGACCAGGAGAAAAAAAAAAATACAATCAAGTTCAGCCACGTTTCATTTATCCATCTACAGCCTTGGTTAGGGTTATAACAGGTTGAACGGAAGTCGGATCCAAAGATTTGTGTGAGTGTGCCTGTGTTTTGAGGGAATCACCACTTTTTTTTTTAGTGCAGCGGTGGCCTATGAAACAGCTAAAATAGAAAAAAATAAATAAAATAAAGTGACAGCGAGAGAAGGGAGGAATAAAACGAGGCATGTATGTGAGAAGATGAAGGAGGGGGTGGCGAAGAACACCTACTTAAGGGGAAGGTGGAGGGGGGGGGAGAGAGGAGGATAGGGGAGAGGACAGGGCAGCAGAAAAGCTATCACTTTCTGAAAAGAGCAGTGGACTCTCAAGAGAGATGGAGACGGCCTGTAGAAGGTGATGCGATGCAGCAGCGAGGCAGACAAGACGGTGGCAGAGAGGCAGAGCGTGGCAGGGAATAAAGAGAGAGAGAGAGAGAGAAATGGAGGGAGGAGGAGAAGGAAGAATCTGGAAAAAAAGTGAGTGAAGAACCCCCCCAAACCTCCCTACTTGACTACACAACCAGAAGTGGGCAACAGGCTCATAGACAGCCTGCCATGGGTGTGAATTAAAAAGAGTGATGAGCCAGCTGCAGCCTTTCGGAGGGTGGGGGGGTTTAACACTTCATCGTTGAGCACATAAGCGTCACATCAGCGGGAGCCTCCTTCTTCGGGATTTCTTCTGCCTCCTTCTAGGCTGCCACATGGGAGAAGAGAGAAAAAAAGCAGATGTTTGAGCCTTCACAGAGTGTGACAGAGGCTCCGATTGGAAAGCCAAATAGCGGTAGCCAAACTGGTTAAGATCAGCATAAGCTCAGGTGTGTAGGGCTGCTTCATGAGCGTGCAGACAAAGGATGTCTTTTCACCTCTTAAACTTGATAATCCTCAGAGGGCGTGAGTGTAAATGAGACAGGAAACTTTTAATAACCTCGGGGCCTCAGCTCAGTCACGAGACATTCGCACGTTGCCCTGCTCTGTGTTTTTTTTTTTTTTAGTGCCCCACTTGAGACGTTTGCATGTAGTTACATCTTGAACCAGTGTAGCTGTTTTTTTAAAAATCATAAATGCCCCCTTTCTGGTTTTAAAAATATTCATGCGGTTTGCTCCCTGTTTGGGAATATCAGATGCCTGCCAAGTGCTAAGAGCTGCAAGGATGAACTTAAAAAAGAAGAAGCAAAAAACAGGCAAAAGGATTGACAGAAAGCTGTACCACAGTTTAATGGACCCCATTGGAATATACTGAGACGTAGACTTGAGCTGGCTATAATCTAGTGCGGCTTAATGACTGGGGGGCCCCGGGCCTCAATTTTAACCCATTCTCTGCTTGAATTCAAGGCGAAAAGTGTCGAACACACAATGTTGCAGGGAGAACACTGTTAGATGAATCAGAACTGGATAACCTATATAAAGCAGGGTTTTTAATCGTAGCGGGGGCTTGGCCGTATGAGTGGCTTTGACCTAATTCCATTTAGAGTGAAGAGAAACTGATGAATTAATTGGGACAGAATCGAATTATAAATGGATTCTTCAAGAGTGCACCTCACGCTGGGATGAGATCTGAGTCCAGAACTTGTTAGGGCCTCCCGTGGGGGAAATCAAACAGGTCTGCAGAATGGTTCAGAAGTCTTTAAATGATGCTTGGCTGTCATTACAGGAAGGCTATGCTGTTGTTTTATGGGGAGACGGTGAGAAATCTTTTTTTGAAAACTGCTCTGGGATTTGATTAATGGGCCAGCAGACATATACAGTTCAAGATTATGAGGACTGTAGCCAACTCCTAAGGAGTGCTGGACATTTCAGTATTGGGTAGTGCAAATGTTTAACCCTGGAGAACCCATGGGATCAAATTTGACCCCATGGGTTCTCCAGGGTTAAGTTAAACTAATGCATTTAGCGTTTTTTTTTTTAAGGGCTATTTTACATAATAAATGGTCAGGATTGAAAATGGGCCAATCTCCTCTTGTGGTAGGTAAAAAACAAAACCCATAAAAATGATGCACGGTTGAGGATATGCAAATAAAGCAGGGATGTCAAAGTGACCACATACTGGCAAACAGGCAGATTCGTTCTATACAATATAGTTGCAGCTTTCACAGCTATAAACTATCGTTGCAAAAAGAAGAAACTGCAAATCTATAGTCATTTAATATGAAAAACTCTTACAGGATGATATAGGCAAGGCTGTAATGACTCACTGAAGCGGACCCAGTGCTGGTGTAGGTGGTACCTTCAGGTCCAGTATTGTCTAGGTTATCACATATGTGCTGTTTATTCCAGGCTTTAACGCTTGAAAAAGGAAAGGAAAGATTGAGCATGTTTTAAAACATGAATTCTCACGGATCTGTTATTTTCTCTAGGAAATGTTTATGTTTATTTACCTTCACAGTACGACTCACACGTGCATACACTAAATATAAAGCGACAGCCAGCAGCCAGTTAGTTCAATTTACTGTAAAGATTGGAAACAGGGGGAAATGGCTAGCCTGTTGCATAGTCATAATCATTTGCGTAAGCTGTGGGTGGAAAATATCTTGGCAACTTCTTAGTGTTTCCACTCGTTCTCAGTCTTGATATAGTCTGCTGGCTTCTGTTTAATGACCAGACATGACCTCACCTGACTCTTTGTTAGAAAATGAGTAAGCCGTTCCTCCTGAAGTCTTCCTTTAACATTAGGATACAACTCAGTAGTTTACTTGTGCTGAGACACTATTCTCTAAGGGAAGAAGATAAGGATGAAAAGAACTATGCGGCCAATTAACGGGCTTGTGTGTGTGAAATAGGCCACCTCAAAAGAAACGCTTGTGTGTATTTGGGTAAGCAGGACAACTATAATAAAGAATGACGTTTTAGAGTGATGGCCTAAATGTGTGCAAATGATGTAATAAGATTTACACTCGCTGGTCACTTCATTATGTACACCTTGCTAGTACAAAGATGGACCCCTCCCCTTTTGTTTTCAGAGCTGCCTTCATTTTTCCTGATGTCGATTCATTGAGGTGCTGGAAACATTGCTCAGAGGTCTGATGACCATGACATGGTCAGCAACAACACAGGTAGACTTTGGTGTTTCAACAATACAAAGAAAATATCCTGCATCACACCAGCGTGATCCACTGACACAAGGCAGGATGGATGAATGCTTTCATGTTGTTTACGCCAAACTCTGATGCTACCATTCAAATTTTGCAAGAGAAATCAAGACAGTTAGACAAAGAAAGTTTTAGTGAGCTCATGCAAACTGAAGCCTCAGTTTCATGTTCTTAGATGGCAGAAGTGGCACCCGGTGTGGTCTTCTGCTGCTGCAGATTTGAAGTGTTGTGCGTTCAGAGATGCTCTGCTGCATACCACTGTTGTCACACTACATTTTTCATTAATACAGTAATGTAACATGTTACTGTACTAAGTTCATTAATTATATTACATTGACAATTATGTCCATACATAACTCATACAACGGTTCTTCAGTCCACTAAAACGGTTCTTTTAAAGGGGAGGACTAAAAAAAAAAGCATCTTTTTTCTTCCAGCTGCTCCGGTCAGCGATTTCATGTTCTGTGCAGAAAATGTTGGATTGGTCTGCAACTTTTGAGGAGTGGAAGAGTGAACACTGCTTTCATTTTATTTTACAAAAGGATAATAGTGCAAAATGTAAACAGACAGGACAGAAACAGCAGCATTATCTGGCTAACACAACTTCGGCTTTTTGCAAGAATCTGCACAGACAGTATGCTAAGGCAATGCCAGCAAAGAATCCAGAGTATGCGCTGACCCCAATAAGCTGCCGGCACCTGAACTTTAACAGGTGACACAGGCAGGCAATGTTTTTAAATTAAAATTCAGTAATTCACTTACTTTTTTCAGTAATACCGGTAAGTGATCTGTTGCCTTGTTATCAGCTCAGAGCAGTCTGGCCAAGCTCCTCTCACACTTGAACAAGTTATTTTTCTGTCTTTTCTTTTTTCTTTTTGACCATTCTCTGTAAACCCTAGAGATGGTTGTGTGGGAAAAGCCAAACAGCCACGCCATGTTCAAAGTCACCTAAATCACCTGTTTTTGTTGCCATTCTTATACTTAGTTTGAACTTCGCCAAGTTGTCTCAATCATGTTTACCTCCTTAGATGAACAGGATTTCTTCCATTTTATTGGATGATTAGATGTTTGCATTAATGAGCAGCTGAACAGGTGTACCTAATGAAGCGACTGATGCGTGTATATCAACCAAACACCCTCGGTTGGTCTTAAATGCTAGTGAATTGTATATCTGATGCTTTTAACAATAGATTTCTTAGAAAAATGGATGGAAAAAATGTTTTTTCACTAAATCTGTTAAGTTGTAGATTAATTAACCCACTTAGGGTTTGATTACTTAGGGGCATTAACAAATTTGCATAAATTACCTCTTCATGCAGCGTTAGTGCAAAATAAAATCTATGATTCTAGATCAGGGTCGAATTAGAGATTAAATCCCCTGAGGCATGAACTAATGGAAGCACATTAGCACCGCCATCATGTAGAAATCAACACGTTTGTCAAAACCAAGTTTTAAAGTCATGTTCTTCAACATGACTGCGAAATACAGCATTGCTCACCATAGATAGAGCTACAACTCTCCCTACAGGAGTGAGTTTGAAGTAGTCATCTGGTATCATCTTGCAGGATCTTCTCCAGAAAGGGACTCAACATTAATGCTAACTGTTGTGATTTGAAGCTCTGTGCACATGTGTGTGTGTGTGTGTGTGTGACAGAGAGTTTTGCGCTGGATGTAATGTGTTCATTTAACTGCAGCAGAAACAGCAGGTGTTTGAATGATGCAGCACACTTGCTCCACAGCAGCGCTCTCTGTCTTTTTCACCGCTGACTCTGCTTCTCCCTCTCTGTCTTACATGCTTTCCCTTTCTGTCTCTCCTCCCTTATCTTCATCTTTTTCACCGTCTGTGTCTCCTCTGTCTCTCCCCTGCTGCCTCCCTCGGCTCTCTTCCTCTCCCTCCACAAGCAGGTATCCACGTGCCTTCGTGCGAATAGCCCGAGGAGCTCGCCAAAAGGTTTCTGTGCTGTCATTTTAGCAGCTGTTCCACTCATCGATATGCCAAGACAAGAGACTGTGTGTATGTGTGAGTGTGTAGAGGTGATTATGAACTGACAGACTTTGGGATTTCAATTATAGAACTGAAGTGCAAATTCTGACAGTTCCGCTGGAAAGAATATGCCCATGTGAGCGTGCTGGCGAATGAGCATCTGCGCATTTGTTGTGCTTGTTTTTTTGATATATTTCAGTGCATTTTTTCCTTGCCCTTGAGTGGTTTTACACATGTTTGTCAGGTGGACCTTACATCCTTGCAGCAAGCTTGATGTTCACATCACATTGGGCACTCAGACATCCTGTTTCTGTCTCTCTCCAACAGGCTCTACTGAAGATGTGACTTGTGGATTACACGCTTTACTCCCTAAATAGATTTCTTCAAATTCACTGACACATTTTTGCACTACCGCTGGTTTTGTTTTTTTTGTTTAGTTTGTTTGTTTAGCTTTTTTGTTTCTGTGCTGTCTTTTGGATTATGATTTCCTCATGGGGCTCGGTTAGCTCCATCTCTGGGGTCCTTTACCCCTCCTTCATCGACCAGTAGAAAGGCCCAACATTTATATTCATTCCAGAACTCTCAGTTTTGGAATCCTTCCTCTGAGATCTGCTTTGTTAACTTCTTCATTGATCATGGAACCACGGTGGAGACCAGTTTCCTACCCCTTGTCTCCCTCCTTCATCTTCCTCCTCGTGGCTACTTCTTACACTTGGCTCATTCCCGTCGCCTCCCCTCAGCGAATCCCCACAGACCCTCAGGCAGCACCAGAGTATGCCCACTCCATCCGACTAGATGGCGATATTATACTCGGCGGATTATTTCCAGTGCACGCCAGAGGGGACCGTGGCACGCCATGTGGCGAGCTAAAAAAGGAAAAGGGCATCCACCGCTTGGAGGCCATGATGTTCGCCATCGACCTGATCAACAAGGACCCCGAACTGTTACCCAACATCACACTGGGGGCCCGGATCTTGGATACCTGCTCCAGGGACACGTATGCTCTGGAGCAGTCCCTGACGTTTGTACAGGCCTTGATAGAGAGGGATGGATCCGATGTCCGCTGTGCCAATGGAGACCCTCCAATCTTCACCAAGCCGGATAAAATCGTAGGAGTGATCGGAGCTGCAGCCAGCTCGGTGTCGATCATGGTGGCCAACATCCTACGCCTGTTTAAGGTAAGAATTGACACACCACTGAGCCGCTTTATTTTTGTTGTTGTTTCTTTTTCCTTCTCCCTTCCTATCCTCTCTTTCTTTGCATTTTGTGTTCATATTTGGCTTGAGAATACGAGTTACACGGGGGGGGGGGTCATGGCTACAGCTCTCTTCAATGCTGCAAGTTCAACAAGGCAGAAGAGAGAGAGAGAATTTTTGGAGTGTTTGGTTTTGCCTTTCAAAGCCTAAAGTGTGATTTTATCTCATGTTCAGATGTGTGTGTCTATGTGTGTGTTCATGTGTGTTTGTGTGAGCGAGAGAGATGTGTCAAGATGTGTCAAGTGATGCTTGTAAGAAAAGGGTTTTTGTGTGTGTGTGTGTGCATATGCTTCTGCTGTGCAGCTTAGATCATTCCTGGCTTGTGGTTTAAGCCAGATAAAAATGGCTGCCAAACACAGGTATCAATTACTGCTGAAATCTGTCAACAGACCCTTCATTCACTTACAGTTTGTGTTTATGTGTGTTTGTATGCGTGTGAGCACATGTGCTGTATGTTTCCCCGCTAGGACATCTCTTTGTGTCTCTGTGTTCTTCATCACACGCGTGGGCCTAATTGAGCATCCTCATGAGTGCTCATGTGTATGCTGTGCAACGGTGTCCCTGCTCATGTTTGTGTCCTTGCAGCAGCTCTCTTGTCTCTGGTTGAGAACAGTTGTACCTCTCTCTCTCACAGAGTGTATTTCTATGAGTGCGTTTGTGTGTGTGGTTCTGTTGTCATCATTAGCTGCACAGGCCTGATGGATAACCATATGATTATGAAATATGAGTCCAGCGATGACGCCCATGGCATTTCACATCCACATCTATCCCACGCTCTTTCACAAGGTGTGTGCGTGTATATGGTGTGGCCATGCATTTTTCACCTGCCCACTTTCAGAAATCCATACGCTACAGGCGTGTGAAAACGTACAGGGCTGTGAGAGCGCACATGTGTTATTGAATGCACTTGTTAACAACCAGCTCGCGCTTCAAATGGGAGATTTGCATATTAAACAACAACGGCAACAACTAAACATGATTTATGCCAGGATCTGTCACAGCAACAGCGCTCGAACAGAGCCTTTCTGCCTCTGTGCCGTCTCATTCTCATTTGCCTAATACGATTTAGTGTCTTTTTGCGTGTGTTTTTATGCGCGTTGCATGTCGGTATGTTTTCTGTGCTCGCCGGCGAATGTGCAAACCAGTGTGTTTGGTAAAGCGTGCCAGTGTGATTATTTGCAAACACGTGGGAGTCTTTTAGGCATTTATCTGTACATGTCCGATGGTATCAACCACATGCTTGTGGCGGTGGTATTGTGTGACACACGACTGTATCTTTCTCTGCGTGGTTTAACATGAATAATGTACCATGGCTCGCAGTATGAAAATAGTATGGAGGACACACACATGCTCACAAGCAAACATATGTCTTTTTTAAATGGGTTAATCTGACAGCGCCAGTCACAGCTAGTCGCCCACTCAACACAGGGGGCTCAGAAAGCAGATACAGAAGTGAGGGAGAGTGTGTGTGTGTATGTGTGTGCGCACGCACGTCTTCTAATCTCACAGCAGACAAAAGAGATTCAAACAACAGATTGTGTGAAAAAAAATCTAAATCCTCAAGAAAACAGATTTTATTTAATTTTTGAACCAAGCTTAGCTGCAGAGGGAGCCACTCACTGACAGTCACAGCTGAGAGAAATCTAGACAAACAGCATGACGTTATTGGAGCTTTTTGTGCTGCTCGTCTGTTTTTAAAAGATCTTCATGTCAGTTCTGCACTGTGGGATGAGAGCTAAGAGGCAAAGGGACTGACATGAGAAATAATAAGATAAAACTTTGTTCATCCACATGGTGGGAAACCAGCCATGGACCAGGCAGCGGAATATTGGGACGCAAATTATACAATCAACTCAAAACTATTAAACGGAACTACACTATATTGCCAAAAATGTTCACTCACCCATACATATCATTGATTTCAGGTGTTCCAGTGACCTCCACAGCAACAGATGTAAAAAAAAGCAAGCAGAGAGGAATGCAGCCTGCTTCTACAAAATTGCATCCAAGCCTTAGATCACCAGTGCAATGCAAGGCATCAGCTGCAGTGGTGTAAAACACAATGAAGCTGGACTCTAAAACAGTAGAGATGTGTCCTCTGGAGTGCATCTTTGTCTGGCAAGTCGATGGCCGAGTCTGGGTTTGACGGTTGCCAGGAGAATGGTACTTGTCTGACTGTATTGTGCCAAGTGTGAAGTTAAGTGGAAGTGGGATTATGGTTTGGTTTTTCAGGAATTAGGCTCCAGTGAAAGCAACTCTTAATGCTTCAGCAGGCCAATACATTTTGGACAATTTTATGCTCCCACTTTTGTGGGAACATTTTGAGGAAGACCACTTTCTGGTCCAACATGACTATGCAACAGCGCACAAAGCAAGGTCCATAGAAATATAGCATAGATCAATGAGTTTGGTATAGAAGCCTGCACAGAGTGCAGTCTTGGCCTGCACAGAGTCCTGACCAAACCCAATAGAACAGCTCTGGGATGAATTAGAGCGGACACTGTGAGCCAACATCAGTGTCTGACTTCACAAATGTGCTTCTGGAAGAATGGTCAAATTTCCCAACACACTCCTAAACCTTGTGGAACACATCTCCAGGTGAGTTGAAGCTGTTATAGATGGAAAGGGTGGGCCAACATCACAGTCAATCCAATTGAGAATGGGCTGTCACTAAAGTGTTTAGGCAGATGAGTGAATACTTTTGGCAATTTAGTGTATGTGGAACAACTGTCAAGGTTCATTTGTTGATTTTGTTTTGACTTAATACATGAAAGGAAAATCAAACTTTAGTACTGTATAACATACTTACTGAGCACAGTGTTCTGGAGCTATAGTCACACATATTATCTAGATCAGCAGTTTGCACCCTATAGGATTTCGAACCTGCAAACTGGGTCATGGAATGTGTCTAAGAGATGATTAATGGGATTGGAAGGCAATAAAAAGCACATCTTCTCCACAAACCCTGCTTTCTGTTATATCATGCAAATTGCTTGCCTGTATACTGTAGTTTTACCCCTGAAGGGCTCTAAAATATATGAGAAAGAGAATCAGTCAACTCATAATCTACTTTACTCCGAGATTAGAGCGAATAAGAGAGCTCCAGAAATGTGGGCAATAATTCCACATTGCCAGGGAAATTGGATATGTGGAAAAGAAAGGCATAGCTACAATTGAACCATGAAGTTCATCTGTAAAGTGCACGTGATGGATGTTTCCAAATGATTTGATGGAAATGCAAAACACCAGCAATAATTTTACCCAAGCTTGTGTTTCTGTCACATCAGTTTGTCTAGGCATTAGTCACGGGTTCATTTAAAAGCAGCATGATTCTCTGACTTCCTCGCTTCCATTTGTCCCCTTAGAAAACTAGATTTATCCTTCAAATAGTCATGGTTTAAAATGAATCTGTGGGACAGCAGATGTAATGCTGCCTAATGAGCTCTTTGTAAAACTTTGGAGCGTTTTCAGCTTGCGTTGTTTGTTGGATTGATGGTTGAATTGAATTAATGAGGTACTATTGATTTATACGATGAAGACTAGATAGGTGCTGCGCTGGGTTTTTTCACAAATTGCAATTTTAACCTGGAGCCTGAAACATCCTGTGTATTACAGGGCTGCCCACTCGTTTCCTGATTGCTGTTTCTGCTAATCAATAACCTTGAGGAGTCCACATTTTTTTGTCTTTTCTCTCATATTTTGTCTTAATTTTTCTCTACAGTTATTCACTCACCAGCAACTATCTGCTTCATCCGGGTTTATTGATCGTGTTTGTGCACGGATGGGTAATTACAAAACATTATGGATCCATGAACCTCCGAGACCTTTAGACAGCTGTCAGACCTCCTTGAAGCTAACCTTTGCTTGGGTACAATCGCCATATAAAGCTATCACTGTAAAACGCTGACAGCCCACATTGGCATCAAATTTGTCTCGATAATGTGGCTTGATATTGTCGCAAGTAGTATTTAAGACACTTTTACATCAGTGCCCCCCACCTCAGTGTGTGGCTTTGTCTGCTGTGTCGCCAGGAAATCATACATTGAAGTGAAAAGCACATTTCGCTCAATGACACCCGCACGCTGTGTGTCAGAAGCCAAAAATGAAAGTCAATTCATAAATTGATAAGTGGTGGCTTTTCCCTAGTGAGAGCTAATAGAATGACTTTGCCTTAGGGAATTTAGGAAACACTTCCAGTATGCACACATCTCTCTCTCTGTCTCTCTCTTTCACACACACACACACACACACACTGAAATCTCTACCCTTCATTCAATCAGCATCACTTCCACTTGACTCTGCTTGAAGCTTGCAAATACACACAGACACACTCTTATTTCCTCTGAGAAGACAACTTATTGTCTGTGTCTCTAGTGGATTTAATGAAGTTGTGTGTTTCATTTCCAAGGTCAGAGCAGGAAGCCTTTTCCCACGCTCTGCGACATTGCTGCACATACATCCAGTTACTCTTGCACCGGTGGGTGAGTGTATGTGTGAGGAAGACTCATTGCCGAGAAACCTTCTTATTGCTTCCATAACTCAGCTGCAGCTTCCCTTTCTTGTACGTCTGGAGAATTAACTGCTGCACTGTGCAATATTCATTTGCCCGCATATTACCGCCACCTTGATTGCTTTCCTGGGTTTGTTGTTTGAGCTGTATTTTTCCACTGTGACAGGTACATCCTGGATCCCAGTAGTAAGCTGTGACAGTTGCACAATGAGTTAACTGCATATATGAAAACCTCCTTATCCGTGGGCACTGCCTGTCTCCAAACAGAATGCACAAACAGAAACCCAATAACAGCCCAGTCTCACATTGATATGTGTAGCAGCTACGCTAGTAGCATAAAACCAAATGGAAACATGTGAGGAAGTGTGGTAAACAAAAGAATTCCTCGATAGTGACTTGAGGCTAAAAAGCA